TGAGTTCAGAATTGAGGTGCGTCCGAGTCCCCACTGGCCTGCAGTGGCTTCTATTATGTAAAACGAGGTAAACTTGCTTTGCGGGTGTTGTTTCACAGGGCGAACGATTCCATCTCTCTTTCCTCCATCATGGCCGATGCACCGGATGCGCCTCAATTGAATGAAAAGGTGCAAACTTTCGATTCACTTCTCCTTCGGGTTTGACATCTCGAAGGCCGGGACGCTGTTCCGCAACGGGCGGTATGAAGAGGCGGCCAAGACTTACGAGGATGCGATCGTGGCCGATAATGGCAAATCCGCAGTATACTACAGCAACCTCGCCGCAGCATATCTTAAACTTCAGCGGTCAGATTCCCCGAACTCGGTCTCGAAAATAGCTAACCTGCTAAATTAGATTCGAATTGGCGCAGGATGCAGCTCACAACGCACTTATGCGAGATTGTAGATCAGTCAAGGCGAGATATCGACGGGCCATGGCGCGCAGAGGGCTCGGCCTCTTACCCCATTGTCTTGTGGACCTTAGCAGTGTTCTCGCGACGGAACCAACTCACAGAGAGGCACGGGCCGCGTTCGTCGAGAGTATGCGCATGCACGACTCTGCGGGGAAACCTAGCCTTTCTGTCGCCGAAATCCGAAGGATGGACTTCCCTCCTGCACATGGTTCCGCTCTGACTGCACCTGCATCCCCCGACAACCGTCCCAGTGTGTCTCTGAATCAAGCTCAGCGTCCCGCCCGAGCGTCGAAAGATACCAAGGTGCCATGCAATGGCTGCCACAGCAAGTTCTTGAACCCGGTGGAAGCGATTTACTGCCCAAAGGTGCGCTTAATAGCACTGGGTTCTATTCATTTCCTCAATTTCCGTAGTGCGGAACCTCGCCCTACTGTAACGAAGCATGCAGGCGCGCAGATGGGTAAAAGTCATCCCGCATTTCATATCTTCATAGTCCTCACAATCATATCACAGACGCCTACACAGAATCCGCTGTCCCATCATGGCAGAGCACAGGGTGCTGCTCAAGCTCTCCGAGAACTTGGCAAAACCGGATCCGTACTTGAAGACTCTTTTCGAGAAATACGCTACGCGCGCTCTCGGGCAGCTGGTGCCAATCCCTCCTTTGTGCCCCATGGTCCTCATCGCGCACCTCGGCGTCGTGTCATCCCAATCCCAATCCGGCGCTCGTACCCATACCCAGCGGCTCTGCGTCGAGCAGCTCAACATCGTCCCGCTCTCGATTCTACCGGCCGCTACAGCAACATCGTGCCGTTTTATGCTTATGGCTGCTGGTATTCAAAAGGCGGCCGACGCGACTGTTCTTCCCATGATGTTCAGTCCCAATATCGAGGTGGATCTCGGGCCTAACGAACCTCCCGATTCGTTTACCGCAACAGAGATGCTGACGGTAACTCCTGTGGAATATGGTGAGATAAAGTCGACGGGGGACACGGTCGAGCTCTACAGTCGATCGTTTGGCGTGAAGCGCGAGCTGAAGTTGGATCTCGACGTCCTGTATCGGTCGGTTTTTCTCCTTGGTTGAATTGTCGACGCGGTACTGACTTCGCTTAGTGCCATCGAAGATGAGATCGAGCTAGATGTGGATAACTATTACCGGTTGATGGCTTGAAGCGAATTTTCCATTGTCCTTTATTCTTGTTTTCTTGTGATGCAAAGTGCGAAGTGAATTACATCTTGGTATCTCTGAATACACTGATTTCCTGAGAGTTGGTGGGATAGAAATTTGAAGAGCCCGATGCCAGGCGAGATAAGCGCACGAAGTTGCCGAATTGGTTGAAAAAGAAGTACCGTGCTCTGTTGAGTCTGTTTTTCACTAATACTGAAGGATTTGGACAATGCACTGATCTCAAAAGGATTGAATAGACAATGATGCACGGTAGATTGGAAATATGAATAAAAATACACAAAGGGGTGCCTCCGGTTCAAACTGAGAATCGGAAAGATTCGGTGATCGGATCAAGGCGGGTGGGCTGGGTCCCACGCAATTTTGAGGTTCCAGAGACCTTGTCAAGCAAGGTAATTGTAGCGGTCGAAGCGCGGACGCCTGAAGGGAAGATATGCAACAAGAGGAAGTACGGGATGAAATGTTACCTAAAGTGCCATCAACGCCGTCGACGTCGTTGCCGAAGAAAGGAGCATCTGAGCGACACCCATGAGCGATAGGAAAGACACTGAAATAAACCCAGAGAATCGCTTATGCGTGTTAGTCGCCGCATGCAGGGAGGCGGATCGTCACAAGATGAAATGCTAGCGGTAAAAGTGCAAGTGCAAACTTACTTGGCGCTTGCGATGCAGTGGAAGGAGCACCGTGCAGCATCTCGCGGGCAGGAGCGCCACCTTGTCCACGGTGTCCGCGCCCATCACGCCCCCCGAGCAGCGCCACGATTTTCGAACGCAGTGGGCGGCACGCCGTCTACTCGACGCGCGCAACCACGCTGACGGTGCCGCAGTGGGTGAGAGGAAGTGGGCTGCGTGTGCAGGGCCTGTTCGAAGATGGTCACCGGCACGGGTATGGTGAAGACGCTGGCGAAGAATACGGGGAGGAGACCGCGGGGAGCGTCCCCGGGGTCGACTTCGAGCGTGCGCACCACATCGGGCGGGACAAGAGTGCGGAGAGTCCGCCGGGACTTTGAGGTGCGGTAAGACGTCCAGGAGTCGGCGCGCGGTGCGTCAGATATGCAGACAATAGAGATGATGCGACGCAGAGCGCGTACGTGCGGGGTGCGGGTAGCGCATTGAGGGTCGGTGCGCGGCGTTAGTCTTCGTTGTATGCATGTAAGAGGGCGAGAAGGAAGGGAAGGTAAACAAGGCGAGGGGTAAAAACTCACCTCTACAAAGCAGCCCAACCCGAATATCCACGCGTCAAACGCATACGTAGCGGGGGCCCAGACGCCGGCGGCGGTGGTGCTGGCACCGTCAGACAGCGGGGCGGCGAGCAGCGGGATTCGGCGGAGGGCGGCGTGCACCGACGCAGTCAGCAGCCGGATGCGACGGTCGGGTGCAGCAGATGCGCTGGCAGGTTATGCAGCCACACCAGCACCGTATCCAGCAGCGTGTACACAACGCTCTCGTCGCCGTCCTCGCCGCAGCGGTCGACCCACCCGCTCTGCAGCTCCTCCAGCGCGCGCACCTTCGTCACCGGCGCCTTCTTCCCCAGGCTCCGCAGCACGACAAACAATTCGGGCGGCGGCCTATGCGCGAGCCCCGTCGTCTCCAGCGGGTCCGCGAGCGCCGCCGACGTCTTCACCGGCGCGATGTACGCCTTTTGCCGCGGCCGGTCAGGCCTGTGTTTCTTGCCCTTCTCGCGCGGCGGCGGCGGCTCCGTCTCGACGACGGGCCCCGCCGCCTTGCGCGCGTGTTTCTTGCGGGTCGCCGACGACGCAGACGACTTGGGCGGCATCGATCGTTGTGGTGCGGAAAGAGTCAGATGGGCACGTGATAGCGCAACCGACATTTCGATTTCTCGCTTTGACTGGCGACTTGAAGGTAGAAATTTGGGACTAGTTTATTCCTTAGACTGGACTCGAAATCGACGGAAGCGGAGGTTTTTTTTTTTTTTCGTTCACACCCTCCGAGTCAATCGCCCGCTATGAACTTTTGAAGTATTTTGAAGTACCGGCCACTTGAACTCTTGAGGCTCCGACATAGTACAAAATCTAACCTGCCCAACAGTGGTCTGGTAGCACAACTGGTTAGTGCTTCTGCAATAAGTGTTTCGTCCATGGTGTGATTCTGCAGAAGATCCCTGTTCGATTCGGGGTCAGATCATATCTTTGTTCGCCTTTTTTCTTCGCAAATCCACAGCCTTCGCCCCTTATCTGTCCCTCTTTTACATGCCCCACATCCCTTTTCCAATCTCCCCTCGCCCTCTACCGTACAAATTTCGAAGGAACCCACAAATTCATGCCAGCAAATCCTTTAAATTTTGAACCTCACCGTTCAACCTCGCAGTTCAACCTCCCATCCCAGGCCTCGGGAGTTTATTTGAAAAACCAAGGATAGTAGCATCGACCTGATAGCACAATTGGTTAGTGTATCCTCAACTTACGTAAGTGACGGTTTCTTATGGAGAAGATCCCCGTTCGATCCGGGGTCAGGCCGTGTTATTTGGTAGTCGCTTTTTCATCCCGCCTCCCGCATTTTTCGTTTTTCTCTCCAGAAAATTTCCCGCGAGTCCCCCACCCTTTTTCGCAACAAACTCCTGTTCAAATCACTCTTATATATCCAATCCTCGGTTAAAGAAGCAGTAACATTCAACTCGAAATTACTGGCAGTTCACCCAGTTCAACCTGCTAGGCCTCGGGAGTTTACCAAAAGATGCAATAAAAGTAGTATTGGCTTGATAGCACAACTAGTTAGTGCATTGCATTAATTAGGTCATTAGGAATCCAGTTTGCAGAAGGTCCCCCGTTCGATCTGGGGGTTAGGCCATGTGCAAATGGGGAGTTATTTTCTTTCCCTCCCGCATTTCCGTTTTCCTCTCAGACTCCTGGCTCTTCCATGTGAGTCCCCTCTTCTCATTTTTTTGTGACAAACTTCTCGGCTCAAATCACTCTAAATGCAAGCCCGTACTCAAAAGAAGGGAGGAATAACTCAACATTCAACCTCAGTTCAATCTCCAGATCTCCCAGGCCATTCTTTCTTTGACTCAGCTAAAGATCTACAGTGTTTGAAATGGCCCAATAGCACAATTGGTTAGTGCATCTGCATTAATCGTTTCAGGGACATGGATTTGCAGAAGATCCCTGTTTGATCCGGGGTCAGGCCATATCTGAATGGGGGTTTTTTTTTTTCTCTCCCGCATTTTTCGTTTTCCTCTCAGATTACTGACTCTTCCGTGCAAGTCCCCCTTCTTCTCATTTTTTTGTGATAAACTCCCAGAAGTCAACCCCCGGTCAAAGAAGCAATGACAACTGGAAATAATAAATTCAACCTCCCATCCCATGCCCTACGGAGTGTATTCGGAGATGCAAGAAGAGTAGCATTAGCCTGATGGCACAACTGGTTAGTGCATCTACTTATGTACCAAAAATCTTAAGGCTTTATTAGAAGATCCCTGTTCGATCCGGGGTCGGACCATATATAATTTGGATTATTTCTCTTTTTTTCTTCTCCCTCACTCTCTCTCTCTTGTTTTCAAACACCCACCCTTCGTCCAACCCTCATCTCATTTGCACTTCAGAATGCAAGCACACTCTTGAACCCAAGTGAGAGGAAGAATAAAATTCAACCCGAAATTTGAGCTTGAACATCGCAATCTGTGAGGCCTTGGCAGTGTATTCGAAGATCCAAGCAAAGTGATATTTGGCCTGATAGCACAACTGGATAGTGCGTCTGCATTAATTGGTTCTTGAATGCAGCATCTGTAGAAGCTCCCTGTTTGATTCGTGGTCAGGCTATGCATTAACAAGCTCTCTTTTTTTTTTTTTTCCCTCCCTCTTTTGGTTTTCAAGGTTTTCAAATGCCCTTGGCGCTGGGTACTATCTTTCCTTCTCATATTTAGAGTGCGAATCTCAATCTTTGCATTTAAACTCCCCAGATCCCAACCTGTAACCAGAGTAAATCCAACTCGAAATTCAACCTCAGCTGAACCTCCCATACCATATCTCCCAGGCTGTTTTCCTCTGACTCAGCCAGACATCCAGAATGCCCAAGAATGGCCTCATAGCACAACTGGTTAGTGCACCTGCATCAATTATATTGTTAAGCGTTTGGTTTGCAGAAGATCCCTGTTCAATCCAGGGTCAGGCCATGTCCAAATGGGGAGTTATTTTTTTCCCCTCCCGCATTTTTCGTTTTCCTCTCAGACTCCTGACTCTTCTATGCGAGTCCCCTCTTCTCATTTTTTTGTGACAAACTTCTCGACTCAAATTACCCTGAAAGCAAGCCCGCACTCAGAAGCAAGAGAGAGATCCAACTCAACATTCAACCTCAGCTGAACTTCCCACATCCCTGGGGCTATCTCCCATTCTTTCAGTCAGCTGAAGATACAACGTGCTCAGGAACAGCCTGATAGCATAACCGGGTGGTGCATCTATTTAGTGTTCAACATGCGTCGCAATTCTTCAATAGAAGATCTCCGTTCACTCCGGTGTCAGGGCATACTTAACCTTTATTGTTTCTTTTTGGTATTCCCCACTCTCTTGTTTTCAAACACCCGCCTTTCATACAACCCTCGGCTCATTCATATTTCAGAATGCAAGCACAGAATCACCCCCCCCCCGAAACTAAGCGGAAGAAGAAATAAATTTGAAACTTCCCACATCCCTGGGGCCATTTTCCTTTGACTTGGCCGAAGATGCAAGGCATTTAGGAGATGTCTGAGAGTACAACTGGTTAGTGTGTCTGCCAAAGCTCGCATAGTAACGGAAGTGTTTATGCAGCAGATCCCTGTCCAAATCAGTGTCAGGCCCTTTCACTTGGCGCAGACTTTTTCTCTCGTCCCCTGGCTTTCATTTTTTCTCTCCTATCGCACTTATGTGCTTGACATCTCCCTTTGCAATTGCTTGCGCTCTAATGAATCCGTTATCGACGCAGTTTTGGATGGTTCAACAGTGCGACTGTTCAACTTTTCTCAAACACTGATGAAATTTATTTCATCAAGCAGGAGAGATTTGAACTCGGTCGGCTTCACGTATTAGTGAAACTGCGCGAGAGAAAGGGAAAGTCATGTCTAATTCGAGTTCAGTCTTGGGCTTACCCGGTAATTTCCGTAATTTTAGGGTGGAAATATACACACCCGCCGTCGTGGCCTTGGGGTACCACTGGGCGCACCGAGATGTTCAAAGCGCCGACACCTCCGACAAGTCACAAGTAAAATCTGTAGTTGAAATATACAACCGCGAGTCGTATGTAGGTAGTTAGGAGTGTATAGACAAGTACGGATCGTATCGTAATTTTTCCTCTAAAGAGCGATTATCACGACAAGCAGACGTAGCGCAGCGTGTTAAGGAAGCAGCGAGCGGAACCTCCACGAGGAAGAAAGGAACCAGGAAGAAAGAAAACAGAGACCAAAATACAAGCCATCCACGCAGGGTATCAACACCAAGAAAAACCTGCAGACGTATCAACGGAATCGGATATTCCAGCAACCACAAACACACGCACCTTCACTCCCCGTCCTCAGAGTCCTCAGCGTCCTCATCATGAGTGTCAACCATAACCTCGCTCCCCACGACCAGCAAGTCCCGCAGCTCAAAGCACACCGCCTTCCTGTCGACCGGGCGCGTCGACGGCAGCAGAATCGGCGGGTACGTCGGGAACGCCTTCGGGATCTTGCGCCCCGTGCTCGTGAGCACCACAGCCGCCGCCGCGTCGAGGTTCCCCTTCTCCTCGAGCGCTGTGCGCGTGCGCACTGCCTCGCGGTAGTCCTCGCTGCGCGCGCTGTACGCACTCTTAGCCGAGGTCTTCTTCCACTCGAGGTGCGTAGTGAGGGCCTCTTCGGAGCCGAAGCGCTGAATTGCGCTGCGGCGGGTCAGGATATACGAAGGATAAAGGAAGGAACGGGACGCACATTTTTTTGATGAGCGCTTCGCTGACGAGCTTAATCTTGCGCTTGGAGTTGCGCTTTGGGTCAACCCACTCGCTTTGTCGAAAGAACGTCTAGTGCTCGGCAGAAATAACGAGAGAGGCACTCACAAGGTAAGCACGCCGTACAGGTCGCGTTCCTTTAGATCGTACTTCGCGAGCGCGCCGGAGAGTGGCATGACCGAGAATTGGTCGTGCGGGAGGCAGGTTTCGCAGATGCGCTTCGCGGGTTTCAATCAATCATTATGTAGCATCAATACAGGCGGCCACTCACCTTCATGTACGGGAGGAAGAGCTGCGGCGCGTACCCGCCGCACCCCGTGCACGCCTCGTCCAGGCACGCGTATATCAACGTCCTACAGCAGGGCCCGATGTAAGCAACGAACGCTACCCTGGAGATCAGAGTACTCACCGTTTGGCGAACATATCAAGGACATTGAGGCGTGACAGGCACTCCTCAAGACTTTCCCCCGAGTATGAGACGATAAGCTGGAACATAGAGTGAGTTGAGGCGGGTTAGAGGCGCTGCATGACGCACGTTAAACCATTCTACCCATCGCTTGTCGCTCAGCACAAAGGCGCGCCAGTACTTCGAGACATGGCTGAGCGCGAGCAGGTCAAAGGGGCCAAGCTCATTCGCTGGGAGCAGATTGAGACACCAGGTTTAACGGGCCGCGCGTTGGACACGACTTACACGTTAAATACTGGAGCTCCAGGGGAATCGAGGCGAGGCGCGCTAGAGCCATCGAGCAGAATCAGGACGCGACGAACACGTAGAATATGTATCAGAGGAGGAGGAGGGATAGGTTTTTCGAGCTTCGAGCGGGCGAGAGGGCGCAGAGGCACAAGAAACGTAGTAGTCAATGTGGTAGAAGATAAAGAGAGTGTGACTTCGTTGGTCACTCGCTTTCCCACGGTGAGGCTAAATTATTCCAAACAATCAACAAAAAAACGCGCATGTTCAACTCGAAGCTTTTGAAGATTAAACCGCACAGACTGAGGCTCGGAAGGTGAGTGGGATATCAAAAGAAGTTGAACCGTGTGAGACCGTATGTCAGTGTTGACTTTTATCAGTAGCTATTCTGGGTCATGGATGATGGCCGACGCCACAGTTCAACTTCGGTTTCAGGCACTTTTCCTTCGCCGTTGACTCTTCGCATAATCTGGAATTTCCGGCGACGCTGTCTACAACTCTAGAGCGCTCCAACATTGATTTTCACATTTACAGCGTGTTCGAACTTTGTGAGGTGCGTATTCGCCGGGTACTGTCCGTGTCCACCGCTTCAAGTGACGAAATTAACGAGAACAGAGCGAGGAAGAGTCATAATTCTAACGTTGTGGAAGCGAACTACAGCGCGAGTTGAGCAGCCTGGTACGAGAGTCGGCGGTGCCCAGCCGGATATTGCCGTGACTGCGTTTGATTGCCGACCATTGGCCGACCTCTTCAACTCCGCCGACCACCAGCTACTCCAGCATCGATGCTCCTTGACCACCTCCGAAATCGGCTTTCCGACCTTGATATCTATCCTGGACCAAGAACGTCGATTGGAGCAGCTCAAGGAGGAGAGAGCGGCCGTGAAGGTCCAGCTCGATAGCTTCGTTTATTCTCGTTTATCCCATTCTTGACCTTGTCCCCGAAGTAACATCCAAAATTTTCGTGTGGTGTTGCAAACCCAAACATGGTAGACCACGTACTTCTCGAGGCTTCACTCCTCCTGCAAGTATGCAGGGCGCGGAGAATCCTCGCTCTCTCTGTTCCTGCGCTGTGGGACAGCTTCCATGACAGGTTCAGCAAGCCCGAAACCATGAAGAAGTCGGTCACGACCTGTTTCAGCCGTGCCGGAACTCGTCCTCTATCACTTGGTCTTTTATACCTGGGCCCGCCAGAATCATTGTACATGACACTGGGGGCACCCACCACCGCATTCAGTCCGACATGTGTTACACGCATGTTGGGCGCGGGTGGAATTGCCCCTTCTGGGTGTTCTTTGAGAGGACAAAGGCAGGTTTTGTTCGTGGCAGGGACGGAACAAAACCTGCCTTTGTCCTCTCAAAGAACACCCAGAAGGGGCAATTCCACCCGTGCCCAACATGCGTGTAACACATGTCGGACTGAATGCGGTGGTGGGTGCCCCCAGTGTGAATTCCCTCATCTAGCGACATGCATCGCGCCTGCAATGCCTGAATTTTTCCACCTATGGAGACTGCTCCTTTGGCCTGGACGATAACAGGTCATTCCCTGTTCTCCGCGACCTAAACCTTTGTTCGGTCACTTCGTTCAATTCTACTGGAAGCCCGATTTCAGCTTTCACCGATGCTCCTCTGCTTTGCCACCTTGATTTGGCATATATGACTCCCTCGACGTTCACTATGCAATGGTCCCAACTCACCCTGTTCTTCGCCACCGGGATTGTTCTTCGGGAGCATTTAGACGTTTTGCGATTGGCCACAATCCTCCGCAAATTCCACCTGCATCAGGAAAAACCGAAGCTGCTAGATAGACCTATATAGACCTACATAGAAGATATAGACGTTATAGACAACTTGCCAACTGTATAGAGAGGTGGGATCACCTACTTGAAACATATAGACATTTATAGACACTCATAGTCGGGGTCTTGTCTATGTATAGTGCTTCATAGTGCTTATAGTGGCCGGTACATTTCTATAGTTCTCGAAAAATCACACCAAAATTTGACAAAAGAAATAATCATATTACAGTTAGCGACACATAGAGGTCCAGATTATAATAACCAAAGTCATGCATCCCACATTTCTCGGGCATCCCTTCACCCAACATCCTCGCGGAACAGGGGATGTCTTGCACGGCGTAGTCGAGCGTCGGGGTGCATGTAAGTATCACAGTCAAAGGAGACAACAGAAAAGGGAAGGAGGGTGGAACCGGAGCCTGACTTGATGAATGGAGGGTTTGAATACAACAACTTCGTCGCTGAAATCGGTTTTATTGCGGGCAATTGGCGCGCCACCGGTGCATCTATCAATCCCGACATTGAGGTTTATTGGCCAGATGTATTTGAGAGGCGAGCCGGGGTGGCGACGGTGTTCACACGTAGTTCAGGCTTCGAGAATCAGTGGAGGCATTGACGACTTGAGTTAGCACAGCCATGCGACGAGGACCGAAACAATGTTCTTGAATTCGACGGACGGCTTAAAGCACGCACTTGGAATGCCGCAGATTGCAATGCGTGAAATGTGGCTGACCTG